TAATCAGTTTCATAAGGAAATTCTAAAACTGGGTTAGACTGATTCATGATTCAGTAATATTATCTAGTAATATGCAAATTAACCATCGCTCCATCACAAAGATGCAGTTGCCCAGTCCTCTCAGCCCTGCCAGAGTTCCCCAGTCGCCCAGTCCCCTTCGCGCTCGCACTCTCCAGGCCCCGCTGACGTAATGCTCCAAGCCTCGGGGACTGTCCGGGGGGGCTGGACCATGGGCCGGTAGCCAATCAGCACAGGTTTGCAGACCGGGCGAGGAACGGGGGCTCTGCGGAGTAGGGTGGGGGCCTGCGCATTGTGTAGGGCTGGGGGTGGGGTGGAGATAGCTGGGTTCTGAGAATTGGGGGTGGGTGAAGGAACCGAGGGCGCGGAGTGCGGCAGGCCGGGACTGGGGGCAGAGCTGGCACTGGATGGGGGAGGAGGGGACGCAAGGGGATTGGAGCAGGTGGAGAGGCCCGCAGGTGCGCCGGGAAGGAGCGCCCTACCCTCCGGGTGCTGGCAGGTGGTGCGGTTGAGGTGGCGAAGGCTGTGCTGCCAGCGCAGGTTGGGTCGCCTCCTCGGCCAGGGGCCAGAGCTTCATGAACCACCCCTCCCCTGTAAGACCATTGCCCTTTCCCCACCCTAGAGGTCAACGACTGTCTAGCTGAGCCCTGGTCGCTCGGAGCCTTGGGAAAGGACAGGCGGCCGCAAGAGGACGTCGTATGTGATCAGGGTGTTGGGGTCTGAAGAGCCGTGACCCCGGACACCCGAGGCCCTGGAGCCCCAGGATGCCCTTCGCCCCGCCCCCAGCATCCGCCCGTTCTCTTTGTCTCTGACCAGGTCCTCTTGGGGCCTCTCACTGGCTGCAGCATCCAGAGCTGCGACCCTCTGTGCTTCTCCAGCCCTGCCGGACCCTCTCCAAGAGTCCACAGCTCCTCGGCTAGTACCAAAGGCTCCTCCACCCGCGGGGTGGCTTTTGTTCAGAACCAGGGTGGGGTCCAGGGGCGGGGCTAAGGTAGAACAAAGGGCTCATAAGGGCGCGGATGCCCCCACATGAGCATCTAAAAATCACCCACCAGGCGCTCCCCGGATCTGGGTTCGGTTCATTTATTGTTCAGTGTGGGCATGGGTTGCAAGGCTGGTCATCTACACCCCATCGCTAACATTCTCATCTTCCATCAGGCTCCGGACCCCACGGTGGCCACGAGGTCCCCAATCTTCGAGCTCCCGTTGGAAGTGACAGACACGCCTAAAAACTGCGGCACTGGGAGGGAGAGGCCCCCCGGAGACCCAACGAGCACAGGAAGTGTGTGCGCAGACTCGGAGCACCCACCCTCCTCAAACCCACTTTCCCAGTAGTCCAAGAAGGAGCTGATCTCTTTGTCACTTTTCTTGTGTGTGTGTCTTAGGGAGGAGGAAGAGGAGGGGGAGGAGGGGGAGGGAGATAGAGAGAGAAGAAAGGGAAGAGAAGGGAAGGAAAAGAGAGGAGAGAAGGGAGGGGAGCGGGAGGGGGAGGGGAAGGGAGAGAGGAGAGAAGCTGGACCTGAGTGTGCCAAAGGGTGGCGAAAGCGTTCACTATATACACTGCAGACCTGGATCCTGGCCCCTGAAATTCCACGGGTGAAGCGCTCCCAACTCCTCCCGACCCGAGTGGATCGTTTTCGAGGTGACATGACTCCCTTTTCATGTCCGGGGAGAGCAGGCGAAGAACTCGGGTTCCCGCAGCGGAGCGGAGCGGAGCGGGCAGCTGTCGAGTGAGACCCTCCCAGAACCATCAGCAAGCTGTCAGCGCTCCCTCTCCCGCTGCGGGTGGGAGGGGGACTTGCAGCTCCATTCCAGGCACAAAGAGAAACAACAGAAGCCCGGCCGCCCCTATTTCACCCAGACTGAAGCCCCAGCAGAGTTCCCCAGACATTGTTGCCGGGATCTGGGTTAGGGTGCCATCGGGCGTGAGGTGCACGAGCGGAGGGTCCGACCACGTGCTGCACTTGAGGGTTTCCCAGGATCTGGGACCTGACCCCGAGTTCCTAATCGCGCTCTTGCAGACGCGGGAATGTAGCGGGCGAGCGATTCTCAAGGTCACACAGCAAGTTATGACTGGGCTCAGGCAGGAATCACTTCCGTGCGCCCAGCCCTCAGGAAGCTGCCCACGTCCAGACCGAAAGGGCCGTGACTGGTGCCAGCACCCAGTCCTGGGGTGGACGCCCCGGTGGGACCTAGCCGCGCGGGGAGGAAGCCAGCGGGAGCCGCACCCTGGCTACTAGCTGAGTGCCTGCTGTCGCGCCTGGGGGCGGCCCTGGCCCGCAGCGCAGCGTGGAGAGGGGGCGGGGGAGTCTGCTCTGCGGGTAACTGGAGCCCGCCTAAGGGTTTATTTTCTCAAATTCCGTGTCAGAGCTAGATCGAGGAGTGCCCGGGATTATGTGGATAAAAGGACCCTTTCCTCCCGGGGAAAGGAATTGGGATGAGGTGAGGCTGGAATTTATCCCTCTGAAAACCCGGGGACTCCACACTTTTGGTTTAAGATCTGCTTTTCTTTCCTATGTTTTGCTCGGGCCCCACCCACTCCCACCTTTTGAAAATGTTTATTGTTGACCCTATTACAAATGTCCACCCCCCCTTCCCGCTCTTAGCACCCGCCCTCCCCCGCCCCCTTAAGATCTGGCATTCTCACTAACTGGCCTATGCCCCTCCCCCAATTTGGAATTATTATGCTGCACACTTTTTTCCCCCCCACAAGGAACTGATTTTGTGTCAGAAGGGGTTTTTAAAGAAAAAAAAAGATTAGTTCTCAACTGGGTCCCCCTGCATTTCTTTTTGTCTGTTTATTACACACAATTTCCCTCTTCTAGGTCAGTGTATATCAGATATGAGGGTGTCAGGACCATGTAGCCCATCATCACTTACACAGGGTCAGTTTTAATGACGTGCTAACATTCCTGAATTTTCCCTTCCTGAGACAGTTGTAGAAATAACTCAGTGTAAAATAAAGTTCAACATTTGCGTACGCATATGGTGTGGCTGAAGTAAGATATCCCCTAAGCTCTCACAATTTTCAGAGTGCATTCAATGGCAGATTCTCAAGTAATTTTGCATTTCTTTATTACACATAAAGTCTTTGTTTTAATTACTTGAAGAAGTTTGATAAAAAGGAGGCAAGACATGGCTGACTTCGTAGTAAAATTTTAAAGCATTGTTTTCTTAAAGCAAGGTATATCTTTTTACACACTTATTGAAGTTACAAAACATCGAGCTTTCAGATTTTCCCACTGCCTGCCGCCATTCACCACTTAATACACAATTCACAGTCCCCTCGCCTAGCAGCCAACCCTGCAGTTTCCAGATGCAGGCAGTTTCCTAGGCAACCGACACTTAGCCAATGAATGAGGAATTGCAAGAGACTGGGAACCCATCATTATTTCCTATATTACTCTTCTCAGTGCTCTCCAGCTAGAAAGATTGGAAAGCTACCAATCCTAACATTTAAGGAAAGGAGTCAAATGGTCAGAGGATTGAGACTAGGGAGTTCTCAGCCTTATGATATGACTGGGAGTGGAGGGGAGGGGTGCGGTCCCTGGGAGGCACAGAGCCTTGTGCTTGCTCAGCTTTGTCATTCTCCTGTGTGTATCCCGCTCTTTCCCCTTTCATCCCTGGCTTTCCCTTGCCCACATGAGAAGCCAGCTGCCTTGGTGGGAACCTCAGACCCCTGTCCTCCTGCAGTCTAGGGGCTCAGTGGGGACCAGTGGTCCAGGTAACAAGAGACTAGAATGAGCAAAGAAAATTCCAAGAAAGCAGTTCAGTGCGGGCACATTTACTTTTGTTCCTCCGTAAGACAGGCAGTTTTCACTTCGCCGGCTTTCGAATTTGGTTTTAAGTGGCCTGAATCCAGACTGGGATTGCCGAGCTTTCACGGAAGAGATTTGCCTTCTTTGTGCAGAGGGAGTTGAGCCCTGGCTTTCCTGGGCACCGTTTCCCTTCTATAAGCGGCCTCTCCGCCCCCACACTATAAGTGATTTGTGAGCTCCTTAGGCTGGGGGAGGGCAAGCCAGAGAATGTTTGCCTCTGTAAATCCTGGGTAAGTGGCATTTTATGATACAGGGCCAGGTTGTATAGAAAACAAACAGAAGAGTAGAAAGTATTCTTAAATGAAACATTATATAAAATACTACAATTGACAGGGTTCCTTTGCAAAGTGCAGTCCCTGAAATCAACACGCTTACAAATAAATCCCTTCTGAAATGAATGAGTGTACACAGGAAGCTATGCTGGGGGAGCCATTTTCAGTTCCAGCAGCAGATTGCTGCAGGAGTAATGTGCTGGCAGGATTGCCCCTCCACAGTTCAGGTTGTTTCACCAGCAACCGCTACTCTTGAAGGTCTCAGCAGCTCTGCATTTCTCTTCTAAATCTGCCCT